ATGTGAAGTGTGTGTGTGTGTGTGTGTGTGTGTGTGTGTACTACTTTTGGGTGAAATGTCCAAAAAGATCAATTAAGTACATTTGGTCTAATTTATCATTTAAAACCACTTTTATTTTTGATTTTATGTCTAGAAAGATCTCTCCATTGATGTCAATGGGGTGTTAAAGTCCCCCAGTATTATTGTATTGCTGTCAATCTCTTCCTTTATGTCCATAAATATATGCTTTAATATTTAGTTGCTCCTACATTGATATATAGATGTTTACAGAACTTATATCCTCTTGGTGGATGGAGTCCTCTATGATTATAAAATGCCCTTCTTTGTCTCTTGTTACAACCTTTGTTTTAAAGTCTATTTTGTCTGATATAAGTATTCTACCCTAGCTTTTTCATTTCCACTTGCAAGAAATACCCTTCTCTATCCCTTTACTTTCAGTCTGTATGTGTCTTTCAATCTTAAGTGGGTCTCTTGTAGGCCGCATATGTACAGGTATCATTTTTAAATCCATTCAGCCACCATCTGTCTTTTGATTGGAGCATTTTAGTCCATTTAGATTTAAAGTGATTATTGACAGATACTCAGGCTGACTGAGTATGAGGGCTGTCTCTGACTACAATGGATGAGTTGTTCTGCAGGGGCTCACCCCACAGAGCAGGAGTTGCTTTAATGAGGCTCTGGTGCCGGCAGAGTTCACTTAAGGAGCTGGTTTGATGTCTTCTGGGGTCATCCAAAGCCAGTCACTGGGTGTGTTGGTTCTGGAGGCTCTTGGGATGGGCTCTGGTGCAGGCCAAGGTCAGCTGCCATTTACCCAGCTTTGGATCACCTGGTGGGAGCTACAAAGTGATCTGAGATTGGCAGCCACTTGCTCTGTGCTTGGACATGCTTGAGAAAGGCTGTGCTGTGAACCAGGGTGGGCTGCACTAGTGCCGGGCTTTGGATCCTTTGGTGGGCACTATAATGTGAGCTAAGGCCTGTCACCTCTTGTACCAGGTTTGTGGCTGCTTAGCTGAAGCTGTGTTTCAGGCCATCACTGACCGCAGCTTATGCCAGGCTTGAGGTCACCTGATGGGAGTTACAATGCAGGCTGAGACTGGTCGTTACTTGTGCCAGACTTGGGGCCACTCAACATGTGGTAAAGGGTATGCCAAGGCCAGATGCTGCTTGTTTGGGGTTTGTGAGCCTTTAAGATAGTTTTGGTAAGTCTTCAGTTCCAGCTGGAGCAGGCCAGTTTTGTGGAGAAGCTGGTGGAAAGAAGCTTGGGCTGGAAGCACAAGTTGGGTGGAGTCTCAGGGAATCACCAGGTGGGGCCAACAGTGTTAGAGGGTTAATGGAGAAATCAGATTTCTGTCCACCTGTGCCTTACAGCTAAGGGCCCAACAAAGGAGCAACGGTGCCTGCCAGCTCTCCCATCCCCCGAGACAGCCACTCCAAACCCCTGGCTCTCCAGCCCTTACCCTGAAGCTAGTCAACTCTGTTCCTCTCCATAGTCCTTGGTGTTTTCTGAGCTGTTGGAACCCAGAGTGAGTGAGTTTGTTAGCAAGTGAGTCTTTGCATGGCCCCTCAAGAGGAAACCTGGGGCTCTAGAAGCTCTCCATCTCACTCAGCCACAATCCCCATCTGTTTTCACAGCCAGATGTTACGAGGACTCTTCTTCCTGGCACTGGTGCCCTGGGCAGGGTGGCTGGGCATGGGGATGGGACCCCTCACTCCTCAGGAGGGACCTCCATGGCTGAAGGAGCCCTCCCTATTCTTAACCACCTTTCTGTACGTCCACCTCTCCTAGCAGTGTGCAGTGACTACTTCTTTATATCCGCGGTCACAGGACTTCTGTTGAGCTGGTCTTCAAGTGGTTCTCAATGATGGCTGTTCTGTAATTTAGTTGTGCTTTTGATGTGGTCATAGACGGAGGCAAGCACAGCATTTCCCTACTCTGCCACCTTGACTGGAAGTCACATTTTTAGCTTACTGATAGAAATTTTAACTCTGCTGGACAAAACAAAGTTATAGTATACATCTTCGATTTACTTCATAATTTCTGTCTCCATTGTCTCCTCAGAGGCCATTTTAATTCTATAAGCTGTTCTCTAAATGGCTCCCGTATAGCCTGAAAGAGGAACTGACTTCATTTCGTGAACAATCTCCTCGCAGGCATTGGTCTTGGAACCACCCCAGGCAGACTGCAGGTGAAAGGAAGGTCTTCGGAGGAAAGATAAAAGCATTTGAAAAATTCTCGTGTAGTCACCGTGTGGAGAACACTGCCTCACACCACAGCATTCCTTTCGCGTGCAGATCTGGTTGAAAAGGGTGCTCCCCAGTATGCCACCGAAGACCCACTTGCTGGGCACCCGTCAGAGTAGAGAGACTGGTCGAAGGCAGAGCCAGGACTAAGGAAACACGCTGTCATAGGGAAAAGGGGCGTGTGAACTGAATCACCCTGGACACACGAGTCAAATTCTCATCTACAGAGAAACCAAGAAAAGCTGAAACAATGGCGAGAAGGAGGCATGGAGGTGGCCTGGAGTTTTGGAGAAAAGTGATTAGTTTTGTTGAAATACTTTTGATTTAGGATCGATTTAAATAGGACATTTCCACAGCCAGATTAAATTATGAGTGGGATTTGACTACAACCACACATATACCCCAAAAGACTATGACATCTAAAATTTGACAATGTTGCTCCTTTATGTGTTCAGTCATTTCTAAAGCATTTCTAAACTGGGAAAAGAAAAAGACTTGAAAAGGATGATAGAGTGGCTGTCTGGGCAGAAATAAGCTTCATGAAGAAACATACACAGAAAGAGACAGGTTATTTTAAAAAGCCCTGGAGAACCTAATAAAGCTGAATTAAGAAGGCTATTAGATAAGTTTTCAAGCACCATAAGCACTATCTTGCATCTAATAGGCTGTTAGTATTCTAAAGCTTTGGTTTATTTTCGACTATGCATAATGTTTCTACTTTACTTTTTGGTTCCTCCCCAAACAAGACAGGTTTCACCAGATTTGGAGTAGGGAGAGATCTGAAATAACCATTGGGATTTAACCCCCAGGGAGTATGTTGATGATAACTCATCTGGAGTATCCAGATGAGCTGGATAACCACTTATTGGCAAATGCCCCGAGGTCTGTGTGGTTCAGGATGGAGAGCACTCATGGGTCTAGGCTTAGCACCTTCATGTGGGCTCCCACAGTTACACTGCCTTATGATTCTGGATTCATTTCTCTCTCTCTTAGATGAAATGATATTACGCCTTTAAAAAAAATTAAATTTATTGGGGTGGCATTGGTAATAGGATCATATAGGTTCGAGTGTACATTTCTATACTACATGCTATGTATATTGCATTGTGTTTCCATCACCATATATTTGATTTTGACCCCCTTTGCCCTATACTGCCAAACTGGTACAGCCAAACTGGTACAGCCACTATGGTAAACATATGGCGGTCCCTTAAACAGTTAAGAATAGAGTTACCATGGGACCTAGCAATCCTTCTTCTCGGTATCTACCCAAAAGACTTGAAAACATTTATTCGCAAAGATATATGCACCCCTATGTTCATCGCAGTGTTGTTCATGGTGGCCAAGACATGGAGACAACCAAAGTGTCCTGCCATAGAGGATCTGATAAAGAAAACGTGGTACATGTATGCTATGGAATACTACTCAGACACACGATGAAATACTGCCTTTTGCAACAACATGGATGGACCTTGAGAATATTATGCTGTTACTGTCTCCTCTTCAAAGTAAGGGTAATAAGGCATGACCCCCTCCCAGGTTTGTTTTGAGAATCAGATGCAAAACATATGTGGAAGTGGTTTGGACAAAGGTAAGCTTTTTTAGGCTAAGTCAACCAGAGAATGGTGACAACAGTTACAATTAGAAAGAAATGTGTGGGTAGTACAATGTAAGTCTTTACATCTCTCTTAAAATTGGATGATATGCTCACTTAAAGTTGCTAGATAATTAGTGTTTAATGGTCACATGGTTATTGTAGTAAAGAACTTCACAGAAGCCTCTTCAAATAGTTGGCCTGTGAGCTTTATTATATTTGATCATCCATGCCTTAGAGCATTTATGTAGGATGAATGAAATTGGACCTAGGCCAGGTGTAGATGAATTCAGTTGTCTTGATTCAGTGGCACTTGACTTGTTGGAGCTTCTTGAAGTACAATGGCTATAGAGAATGAATGAATTTGGCCCCGAATTAATTCGGGGGCACTGAAATCCCGGCACACACCCCACTCTGACCAACAGACGTGTAAATCCCACAATTTGAATTAGATCATTTTGATATAAGCCAAACAGGGACATACTTTCCATGAAAGTATATTAAGACTTTTTGTCTTTTCCCCCAAGTGTATAGCAATGAAAACCAAGAGATATATTATACCTTTGCCAAGGCTTTCTTTGACCAGCAATACAGAGCCTGGGCGTTGGGAACCATGGGGTAATGCACAGAATGGAGCTCCCAGGCAGTTAAGTTCACCCAATTTGCCTGAGGTTATATAGACACTGGTCAGCTCAATAGCTAGGAAATAACCACTCAGTTACTTATTTGTGGGTACTCAGCACATGGTTACATATTTCCCAGGTAGACTTTTCAGAGCCTACATATAAAGACACAAGGGGAATCAGATTATAACGATTCTTTTACAAACTCATAGAAATGGCATAACTATACACTACATCATGTACCACCGTTCTGCTACACACACCACCACACATTTCCGAATTTATAGTGGATAGGGGATGGCGAAAATGATTACCTGTTGCTCTCACATTAGGTTCCATCTAAAACTTGTCTCACTTGTATGACCCCCATCCCTTCAATAGATGAGGATGTGTTAGATCATAATTCCACCTCCCCCACCACAGGCCTTCTTGTCCTGGGTTTGTGTCCTGTGTGCTCCAATGCAGAGGCTTCTGCCTGAGTGTCTAATGTCACACACTGGCTAGGCAATGGGGATTCCATGATGGTTCTGCAGCAAACTTACTTTTGCCCAGCTTCTCCTTGGCCCGCACAAGGTCCATACTTATACGCGTACACCAAGCGAGGGATAAAGTCAGATGTTATCGCTATGACAAACGCATTTGTAATAACAGACAGAATTCCGATGCCTTCCAGGATTCCATACCAGATTCCTATCCAAAGAGAAGTGTTGTATTAATACCAAACACACAGCAGAGGTAATACGCATGGCATGAATCGGGGTAACTAATTTTCAATAGTTCTTTCCTAGGGTCCTTTCACCCTTCCAAATACTGATACTTGCAAACGCCTGGGCAGTGAAGGACTTTCTGTGAAAGCGCCCAATGCTTACACCTTAAACACTCAATCAGGATCACACATAAGTAGAGAATTCTGGCCAATGACAAGGCACCCAAACCCTCTCTGATAAGTTTGGCATATGCAATGTCATGCTGCCACCAGCTCCTTAGGAGTACAGACAGGGTCCCTTAATTCATGTTTGTGGGCCCAGTACCTGACACACTACCGGGATAGGAGCTCACTGAATGTGTGTTTATTTCAAGTGGAGATTAAAAGACCACTGTGGGCCAAATACATCCACACTCAATCCTCTTCCCCACACATGGGCTGAGCACCTGCCTGCCCAGTACTAAGCACTGGATGCTGACATGAATGAAAGACAGTCTCTCATCTCAGGCAGCTCTCGCGAGGCTGCAGCTGACTCAACTCAGCATCTCTGGTCAAAGACCAAAGGCCATCCCCGCCTTGAGGAAAACGGGATCCAGCATCATGTGACCCAGGCATTCATTCAGGAAAGAGCAAAACAAATTAAGCTGATGGACAATCTACTTTGAAAAGAAAGTAAGGGATACTCAAAATTAGATTCCAAAGCCTTAAGACAGAAATAGCTACACTGAGAATTTATTTAAGTACAAATTCGCTGGCCCTGGAAATGATAAATCTCTGAACAGGCAGCTTTACCTCTTACCTGATATTATTTAAAGCTAACCCAATTTTTCTTTTGCAAGAGTTAGTTGACTCATCTTACATGGAAACCATAGTAAAAAAAAATCTAAAGTTGGTGTCTGTTTTTATTTTATCTACCAGGTGGTTCGTATGTTTTACAACACATACCCAAATCCAACTTACCTATGTCTTTGGCCCTTGAAGCTAAAGGCCGCCTCCACTGCGTGACAAATTTGTACGCATCGAGTCGAATCTCAATGACGTTATTCAGTAAGGCCAGGAGCGGTGCTAGGGGGAAAGCTGCCACGAAGATGGTTGTGAATCCAAACTGCAGAACTGGAGGGAAAGCAGAAAAGCGGATTGGCTTCCCATGATTGTTTTCAGAAGAATACCAATAGGAATTCCTCATTGTTTTAGCCACACTTCCTGCCAATACCAAAGCGCAGGGGACAGAAAGGCGGGCAGCTCCTGAAAAGAGAGGCACTTGGGGGCTTGCGAGCAGTGGCATCCTGGACGCCATGATCAGCCCCAGGGTCCCGATCTCCGCTCGGTACCATTCTCTGATAATGGGACCAGGGGTCCTTGGAGAAATATTTGATTCCAGAGCTATGGCAGGGAAAATAGGAGATGAGCCTGGAATACTTTGTGATGTCAGAGAGTTAAGAAGTCCTTGAAAAAGGATGGGACACATCAACAGGACACAGGAGAAACTTGAAGGAGCGCCCAATGGCCAAAGCTGGGACAATTTGTACAACAAAATGATGGTATTGGATTATAACCTAAAGACTAAGTGTCTAAGTCCATACTGATAAAAATATATACTGATCTAAATAAATAATTGAATAAACACCTAAATGGGGGAGAAGAGACCACTATTCCTTAAGGTAGAATTCTAATTAATAAATGTAAAAGGAAGAAAATAGAAAATTACCATTGATCAAATGTCATGGTAATGATTGTTGAAGGCAAGAACCATCAAAGAATGTTAAAATGAGCAGAGAGAAGCATATTTGCATATTATTAAAGTATTTCCTCACATGTTATTAATTACAAAGGAATTTAAATTAGTATCTTTACAATGGAGAAACCTGGTAGATGCCACTTTAACCAAGTGATCAAAGTTAATATCACCAGTAAAGACACTTACTGACATCATATATTTCTGATATAATATGCTGAGGAGGTTACAGAACCATTTCTGTGGTACTTTTGCCAAAAATGCATAACCTCAACCTAATCATGAGAATATATCATACAATCTCAAATTGAAGGACCTTCTACAAAACTACTGACCAGTAATCTTCTACTGTCAAGATCATGATCATGTCAAGATTATAAAAAACAAAGACTTAAACTTGGGTAAACTAAGGAGATAACAACATCTAAATGCAATATTGAATCCTGAATGGATCATGGACCCAAAATTAAATAGTGGAACAACTGGCATATAAGTAATATCATACAGAATTTGTCTATCTCTGTCTGACTTATCTCACTTAGCATAATATGCTCATGTTGTTGCAAATGGCAGGGTGTCCTTCTTTTACACAGTTGAATAATATTCCACTGAATATACTACTTCTTCTCTCTATCCATTCATCCATTGATGGACACTCAGGTTTTTTTCATATCGTGGCTACTGTGAATAATGCTGCAATAAATATGGAAGTTGAATAATCTTTAATATCCTGTTTTCATTTACTTTTGGTATATAGCCAGAAGTGTAATTGCTGGGTCATATGGTAGATCTATTTTTAATTTTTTGAGGAATCCCAATATTGTTTTCTATAGTTGTTGAAACAATTTACAGTCTTGCCAACACTGTACAAGGGCTCCCTCTTCTCCATGTCCTCACCAACACTTGTCTCTTATCTGTTTGATAGCAGCCACTCTAACAGGTGTGAGGTGATATCTATCTCAACTTGGTTTTCATTTGCACTTCCCTGATGATTAGTGATGTTGAGCATCTTTTCATATACCTGTTGCTCATTTGAAAAATGTCATCTTTGAAAAATGATCAATTCCTCTGCTAATTTTTAAATAAGATTTTTTTTTTTTTTGCTATTGAGTTGTATGAGTTCTTTATATATTTTGGATATTAACCCCTTATCTGAAAAAAAAGTATGTGTGTGTGTGTGTGTGTGTGTGTGTGTGTGTGTAAAATGTTTCTTTTGCTGTGCAGTCTTTGAAGTTTGCTACAGTTCCATTTGTGGACTTTTGCTTTTGGTATCATATCCAGAAAATCATTGCCAACAACAATGTCAGGAACTTCTCAGTGCTTTCTTCTAAGAGTTTCATGGTATCAGGTCTTATGTTTAAGTCTTTAATACATTTTGAGTTAATTTTTTGGAGTAATTTAAGACAGAATGTCCAATTTCATGGTTCTGCATGTGCTTATCCACTTTTCCCATTACCATGTGTCACAGAGATTATCCTTTCCCCATTGGATGTTCTTGTCTCCTTTGTCAGATATTAGTTTGTATTTGTAAGGGTTTAATTCAGTTCCATTGGTCTAAGTATCTGTTATTTTTGGTGCCAGTACCATATTGTTTTGATTACTGTCGCTTTGTAATATAGTTTTAATGCAGGAAGTGTGATGCTCCCAGCTTTGTTCTTTATTTCCTCAGGATTGTTTTGGCTATTCAGGATCTTTTATGGTTCCATTTAAATATTAAATTTATTTTTCCTATTTCTGTGAAGAATCCCATTGGCATTTTGATGAAAATTACATTGAATCTATAGATAGCTTTAGGTAGTATGAACATTTTTAACAATATTAATTCTTCTGATCTATAATAACAGATGTCTTTCCATTTGTTTATGTCTTCTTTGGTTTCTTTCAGCAAGGTCTGTAGTTTCCATTGCACAGATCTTTCACTTGATTAAATTTATTCCTAGGCATTTTATTGTTTGTTTGTTTGTTTGTTTGTTTGTTTATCCTCACCTGAGGACATTTTTTCATTTTTTTGTTCAGATAGAGTGGGAGGAAGAGAGAAAGAGAGAGAAACATCTACGTGAAAGGTACATATCGAGTGGCTACCACCCACACGACCCAACTAGGGCCGGGGATAAACTGCAACCCAAGTACATGCCCTTAGCAGAAACCGAACCTGGGTCTCTCTGGACTGCAGGCTGACGCTCTAACCGCTGAGCCAAACCGACCAGGGTGCATTTTATTGTTTTGATGCTACTGAAAATGGGATAGTTTATTTTTTCAGATGTTTCCTTACTAGTGTAGAATAATGCAACAGATTTCTGTATGTTTATTTTATATCCTGCAATTTTACTGAAACTTGATTACCTCCAATAGTTTTTTGTTGAGTCTTTAGGATTTTCTATGTACAAAATCATAACTTGCAAATGGCAACAATTTTACATTTTTTCCTAGTTGGATATCTTGAATATCCTGTATTGAATAGAAGTGGTGAGAGTAGAAATCCTGTCTTGTTCCTGATCTTAAAGGAAAAATTTCCAATTTCTGTTCATTTAGTATAACCTGCAGGTTTGTCATACGTGGCCTTTATTATGTTGAGTTATGTTTCTTCTATATTCAATTTGTCAAGGGTCTTTTTTTTAATCATGAAAAGACACTGCATTTTGTTAAATGCTTTCTTTGCATCTATTGAGATAATCATGTAATTTTTATCTTTCAATCTGTTAATGTGATGTATTGCATTGATTGACTTGTGTATGTTGAACCAGCCTTGCAGCCCATGGATAACTTCCACTTAGTCACAGTTTTAAATTGTTTTGAGGTGTTCTTGAATTTGGTTTCGTAATATATTGTTGATAATTTTGCATCTGTATTGATCAGGGATATTTGTTTATAGTTTTCTTGTGTTCTTATCTGGTTTGGGTATCAGTGATGCTGGCCTCATTGGAAATGTTCCTTCCTCCTCAATATTTTGGAAGAGCTTTAGAAGGACTGGCATTGACTCTTTAAATGTTTGGTAGAATCCATCAGTGAAGCCATTTGGTCCTGGGGTTTTCTGTGGTGGGAGGTTTCTGGTTATGACTTAATCTCTTTACTAATTGGTCTTTCAGATTTTCTATTTCTTTCTGATTCAGTCTTGGTAGGTTGGTTGTTTCCAGAATTTATTAATTCCACCAAGGTTATCTATTTTGTTGGCCTGTAACTGTTTAGAGTAGTCTAATAATCCTATGTTTTTCTGTAGTATCAGAGTAATATCTCCTCTTTCACTTCTACTTTTATTTATTTAAGTCTCTTTTTTCTTAGTCTACTTAAACATTTGCTAATTTTGTTTATCTTTTGAAAAAAACCAGCACTTAGTTTTCTTGATTCTATTGTTTTTCTGGTCTCTATTTCATTTTTTCCCCTGCCCTTATCTTTATTATTTACTTGCTTCTGCCATCTTTGGGCTTAATTTGTTCTTTTCGAATTCCTTGAGGTGTAATATTACGTTGTTTACTTGACATCTTTCTAAGTTCTTAATATATGCATTCATTGGTAAAAAAAAGTTCCTCTCAGAACTGCTTATGCCTCATCCTATTACTTTTGATATGTTCTATTTCCATTTTCATGCACTTTGAGATAATTCTTTATTTCCTTTTTGATCTCTTCTTTGACCTTTTGGTTATTTGGAAGTGTCTACTTTATTTTCCATATATCTGTAGGTTTTCCAGCTTTCCTCTTGTTGTCTTCTAATTTCATACCATTGTGGTCAGAAAAGATAGTTGGTAATATTTAAATTTGCTAGGAATTGTTTTGTGTTTTATCATATAATATATCTTAGAGAGCGTTCTGTGTGCATTTGAGAAGACTGCGTATTCTGCTTCTATTTGATGGAATGGTCTCTCTATATATTAAGTCTTTTTTTTTTTTTTTCCAAAGTATGGTTCAATTCCAATGTTTCCTTACTGATTTGCTGTTTAAATGATCTACCCATTGCTGACAGTGAGAAACTGAAGTTCCTTACTATTATTGTATTGTTGTCTCTTTCTTGCTTTAGATTTATTAGTATTTGCTTAAAATATTTCAGTGCTCCAATGTTAGGTGCATGTATATTTCAGACTTACCTCCTCTTGATGTATTGACTCCTTTATCATTATATAATTAGCTTCTTGGTCTGTTGTTACTGTTTTTTGGCCTGAAATCTATTTTGTCTGATGTATATACGACTACTCCCACTTTCTTTTAATTTTCACTTGCATGTAATATCTTCTTGCATCCCTTCACTTTGAGTTTATTAGTCTCCTGTAGGCAGCACATAGATGGGTCTTGTTTTTTTCTTAATGCACCCAGCCACTATATTCCTTTTGATTGATGAATTCAATTCATTTCCATCAGAGAGATTATTGATATGGAATGGCTTACT